GTACCCCCCCACCATGTCCACTACAATGCCCCACCAGGGTGTGTGTTGCTACTTGTCCCAAGTGCCCCTCCTCATGCCCACTCACAGAGTGAGGCACCATGGGCAACAGCAACCCCTCTATGGCTGGCCTCCATTACCACCTACAACCTTGTGGGGCTGGAAGTGAAACCATGAACTGACAAGTAAACAGGTTCCTCTGCTGTGCAAGACTTCTGCCGCCTTGGAGGTTTTGCTTTGTTTTGTGGTGGCTGTTACACAGCACTATGCCAAGAAGCAATCCTTGGCAATGAGATCTTCCAGGACCCCACAGCCTCTGCCTGGCACTTAGAGATTGCCAAACCCTGCTAGAGCAAAGGCTGAGTGATTCTTAAGTATTGTGGTTGTGTCTGGTAAAGTATGTAACCCAGGAAACAAGACATTGGAGAGAGAGAGAGAGAGAGAGAGAGAGAGAGAGAGAGAGAGGGAAAAGGGAAATAAGTTGGACAAAGGGGCACTCATCATGCCACTTTAGAAAAGTTAGACTGGACATTCCACTGATCTGCCATTAATCCTACTGCATAGCACTTAGGCAGAGGGGCTCTGACAGATTGCCTGGGTCTAAGATCTAGCTCTACCCCTAATGACACTGGCTTTACATCAGTTGCTTAACTTACTCATGCCTCAGTTTCTTTCACTATGCCACAGGGAAGATGGCACCAACAGTACTCCTGTTACAGTACTATTTCAAGACTTGGGGTAGGAAGAGACAAACATCATGTGTTTAGTATACTGGAGCATAGCAGACAGCAGGTGAAGAGGCAGTATGATGTCCACCTGAGTTCCACTACTCCAAGTCTTCTGAGCATAGCTCATGTTCTCAGGTAACCCTACAGACATAGAAGTCAACCTTATTAAAATAAGGACTTGTATATTCTATCATCTCCCTCACTTTGGTATGAAAATTTAATAACATGTCACCACTTCAAGAACCCCAATGAAGAGTACTTAGGACCTTTGTTTTTGCAAATTTATATGAATCTCTAAGACTTCAAAATTAAAACTTAAATACACGAAAACTAGATATGCATGAAGGAGGGCACCAGTTTTGGAAGGCATACACAGCTGATATTTAGTGAAGGTTTTACAAGGAGTTAGAGAGTCCAGAACAAACTGAATAAACTCACAAGAAGGGACGTATCAGCCTGTATTGCTGAGATGGATACTGAAATGGGATATAGAATTAAAGAGAACTGTAGCAACCAAGAGCCTCAGAGCCCATATGCGTGCACTCACCCACAGCTTTCAGTCTCCCTCCTCCTCAGCACGTGTCCCATTCTCTCTGTGCATTCTGGGTGCACAGATCTAGTTTGTGGATGGTCAGACAGAAGGGTGTTACTCTTATCTCCAGGCAAGCACCTATTTTCCTAGAAGGTCATGAGTTTACTCTTGCAGCCAGGCAGCTGACAGCTTTGTCACACAGGCCCAGCCACCTGTGCGTTATAATAACCCACAACATTTAAATGGAAATATGTTGGGGATTCTCTACAATAGGAGTAAGAGATCACAGAAGAGGCTGACCCAAGAACGGCTCTCCATGGACTCACAGCATGTCATTAGCTCCCTGTCCTTCTAATGGTGTCAAGAAAAATGGTTCAGAACCATCAAAGACAAATACAGACACTCCAAATACAAATACTGAAAAAAGGCATCAGGGACAACTTCTGATTGAACACCTATACTCATTATAGACACTCTTTTAGGAGACAAAGCTAGACAAGGAATTCAAGGCACTGTTCTCTCAGCTTCCAGATGTGAAAACTAGTAGTTAATTTCTCTGACATGAAGAAGGCCTGAGCCTCAGGGTCTCCTGGCAGAGACTTGCCCCAAAGTTTCTACCTTTGCAGGACAACAGAAATTTCTGGAAACCTTTGTTAGGGTTCGTGGATGATTATGGTCAACTATTGATAATAGGATGAAAAATATCTCACCTCAGAAGCAATCAAAAAAGGGAAGGGGGAAGACTGAGGATAGAATGAGATGACCTTTTGCATCTAAATTATCACTATAATAAATCCCTGGAACCTAGTGTTAAGAATGTGTTGTTACATGGGGAAGGGCCTAGGCCTGGCCCAGGATGATATGGTTGACTTTGGGGAGCCCCTTTTGAGGACCTTACCCTGCCTGGGGAGTAGAGGGGGGATGGCTAGGGGCAGGTGAGATGTTGGGGGGGAGGGGAAGGAGAGGGAGAAGGGATTGACATCTGAAGCAAGCTTGTTCCTAATTTGAACTAATAAAATAAAATAAAAGAATGTGTTGTTATTAGGTACCCTTTTAGAAAACAATTTTGCAAACATGGTAATATGTGTCAAAAGCATGAAATACCTCAACAGTTTGTTCCTGTGTATTCAATTCAAACAAATTAGACAAAGAAAAATAACTATGAAGATAGGGGTGGAATCTAAGTAAATAAAGGCAATTATCACAGTGTATCTTAGAAAAAAGATGTAAATATCTAACGGGTTTTGATTAAATTTAGGCTTGTTACTTGATGGAGCATTACTCAACCATTGAATCTATACTAAAGATGGGCAGGAGCTATAGATCAGTGGTAGAATACTTCAGCATATCCAAAACCATGAATCTGCTGACCAACATAAAAAATAATTAAGAGGAAACAGTACTCAGCTTGCATGAAGCAAATATTTTCAACACAAAACCACTATGAGTAACAATAGAAGAAAGTTTGTTCAGGTCATCACTATTTTAGGATAATGGGAATTTAATAACTATGTCTTTATTTTTCTGAATTTTAATCAATAGGCATTTATTTGTTGTGCAAATAGAATAAAAATAATCATAAAATAAAAATCCGTACTTCAAGGACCACCAGAGTCTCTGGCGTAGGCGTAGAAAGGGCACATGCACATCATGGAGGGATGAAAGGGCACATCACCTTGAACGTATGGAAAATAGGCCAGGAGTTGTAGTCTCAATTTCTAGAACTCGATGTGCATTCTAAGAGGAGGCCAGATCTGAGAACAAGAAAATGTCTATTGCCAGCTTAGTACTTGTATCTTCCATGTAAATGAGACTGAAGATAGACATCTTAATGGTTACCTTTCCCAACAAAGTGCTAGTTCAAAGGCAGTTCTGGGGATGAAGACCAGAATGTGATGAGGATGCCAGCACTCCACAGAATTCTGTAATTACTCCAAGCTCCCGGGGCAGCCACTAAGACTCTGCTTTAAATGGCAGAGGGTTGTACAAATAAGCAACAGTCAAAGAGTGAGAATCGCCAGTCTGTGTAGTACCAGATAGATGGCTTACAGAAAATGAGGTGGGCAGGGCCAAGCACTCTTTCTGGCACAGCAGTTCTAAGGGTCCATTCAGAGTCCCCAGGCAGATGACACCACAGGGCCCTTGCATTTGGCTAGCTTTGAAAATCTAAGCCAGCTAGGATGCCCCCTGGAACTGGAGGCAAGGCTGCAGGCTACCTGTCATCTGCAATATGAACTAGCACAGTGGAGGGAGGCAGAGAGGAGCAAAGGAAGAAAATATTATTAAGGCAATGCAATTAGGGGTCTCTACCTCTGCTCCAGTTCCTAACTGGGCTCGTGGAGGAATCAAAGGAGGCTTTCACGTCACTAGCTGAGCTAGAAGTGGCACTTCCAGGTGATGAACCACTGAACAAAAACTACTGTGAGTTAGTTGGGTTGTCAGGAGATTTCTAACCCCAATTTAGGGCCCCATGAGGCAAGGCCCAGACTCAAAATGGAAAAGATAGAAGATCAACAGCAAAGCTAAGCAGTTTGAGGACATCATTTCTCCCCGTGTCTGTCAGTGGCTCTTGCCCTGGAGTTCCTGCTCTTTTGAAGGTGAAGGCACATACATTTGAACATTTTCTCATATCTGTTAAGAACCACAGGCTGATATGCACACTTGCTATCTTCTTAAAACTCATGAAGTCTCTCCAGTAAAATAGTCTGTTTTTTCCATGTCCATTACCCAAGACATGAACTTACCATATGACCTTGAACAAGGTCTAAATGATTTTACACCTCACTTTCATCATCTAAAAATCACAGTTGATAGTAGGTCTATGTTGCCTGTTAAAATTACATACTGGAACTAAAACAAGGAAGTGGAGTCAGGTGTTCTTGTATATCCTCCTGGCCTGAAGGGCATATGATCCACACCTCCTGCCTGTCTGATTCAGACTCCCTGTGTGGGTGACACAAAGAGGGGGGAAGAGAAGAATGGTGCTCTCTCCACAAGGAATTCACAAGCTCAGTAAACTCCAGCAAACAGGATGAACTACATTCTATACTTTTCAATGTTATCAGACCCATTGCCTTGTAATATGCAGGTGAATGAATCAAAAGAGTCTGGGAACCTTTATGATCTACATAAAGGAGATTGTTATTTGATGGGAATGGAGGAAAAACAATGTTCTACATTACCTGAGTCTCTGTCTAATTACATCCTGGCTCCGAATAATAACAGCTCCAGAAGTCTAGATTCTCAGATACCGTTCAAATCAGATCAGCACTAGTCTTACTAGAAGACTGAACATAGTCAGGAAAATTAGTCATCTTAAGATTTGGGGTGGGGCAATCTTCCCAAAGATATCCAAGCCTCATTGCTAACTAACTGGGCCACCACAGGGGTTGTTTTTTTGAGAGACTCAAACTCGCCAAATCATCTACTTTTCACCAAGAAAATGATAGATCATCTAAGGCCACTCAGCCATCTTTATCAGCTCTTCTCCTTGCTTAGAAGGCTCAGTTTTCTGTCCTCTGCATGCAGATGATAAAAGGGAGGTATTTGTGAAAGGGCCCATGTGACCAAACACTTAAAAGACCTAGAAGTATCCAGGTCTACTGTTCCTTCTCACAGTTAGAGTGCCACAATTGGAAAGCTGGAATGGACCCTAATAAGAGCCCACTTTCTTAATGATGGTTGGAGGCCAGAGAGGGTCAAGTGACTGGTCAGACTCAGAGAAGGTATCCTAAGCCCTTGGGAAGTAAATTGTCTACACATCATAGTGAATAGGAAAGTCAAAGGTCAAATTTTGGGGAGTCAAAGTAAAGGACGTGGAATGAAGAGCTGGGCGAATCAAGGAAGGATCCATGGAAAACGTGAGTCCTGAGCCAACAGCCAATGCAGGCCTTCATAGGCAGTACGAATGTTACTGTATACTCTGAATTATTCTCACAAGGAATTTGTGAAATAGTATCTTTGCTTTCTCACAAAAAAAGGAAATTGTCTCTAAGAAGTTTCCACTAATCCAACACTGCACATGTTCTATATGATAGTAAGTCCTGAACCCTGAGTCTAGTTGTTCCATGAATCTTTAAACCTCCTTTACCAGTAGGAGGTCTTGATGGAGTGTGTTGATATGACAAATAAAGGGATCTTCTTAAACTAAGGAACTAGAAGGAGATTCCCTTGCTGAGACCTCCTTCAAAGTTTCCAAGAGCTTCAGATTTTGAGATGTATTAGATTCTTAGCACTCTGCCATGAGTTACAGTTAATTCAGTAGAACAAAATGTCAAAAATGCATTGCAGCTCTTAAAGTCAGAAGTCTATGGGGGTGTCTTAGTTACTTTTCTCCTGATGTGCTAAACACCATGGCCAAATCCAACTTGGAAGAGTTTATTTCAAGTTACACTCCCAGACAGCAGTCTATCACTGTGGGAAGTCAAGGCAGCAGCTCAAGTCAGGAACCTGGAGGCAGGAATGATGCACAGACAATAGAGAAACCACTGCTTACCGAGTGGATCTTCATGGCTTTGTTCAGCTTGTTTTCTTATACAACTTAGGATCACCTGCCCAGGGAAGACACTGTCCCTCCATATAGGAAAGTCCACACACATCAGTCAATAATCAAGAAACTACCTGATAGGCCAATACCAATAGGCCAGTCTTATGGGGGCATTGTCTCAATTAACAGTCCTCTTCCTAGATAGCTCAAGTTTGTGTCAAGCTGACAAATAAACAAACAAGACAGATGGTCTCAATGGACTAAAATCAGAGTGACAGCCAGGCTCCATGGCTTTACAGAGCATCCCTTTGGCTTCTCCAGCTTCCACAGCTGCCCTCATTTCTCTCATCTTCTTTGCCGGCAATGGTCAGTGTGGCCTTTCACAGTAGATATTAATGTTTCTTCCCCCTCTGCTCTTCCAAGGATCTTTGTGTTTCTATTACACCATTCTCTTGAATAACCCAAGGTAATATCTCTGATTTAAAGTAAACTGGCAGGAACCGAGTTTCCACCTCCTGTCTTACTCCCTTTTGCCACACAACCAAACACAGTCACAAACTCTACTGATTAAGTAGAATGTCTTTGGCAAGTCACTATCTGTTGTCCTGACTTTGCTATCAGTTTCAAGAGTGGTCACAAATTAATTCAATGGCAGGTGGGAGGCCTTTTGGAGAAGCTGGACTCAGGGATCTATCACATGGGCACCCACCACCATGAGAATGACCTTGCCTCTGCATTTTTCTTCACATTGCTGTTTAGTTTTCTGGAGCTTATCCAAACTCACAGAAATGCATGTGGCATAAACAAGGCCATCTCACACATCGTGTTTTAGGAATATTCTAGAAATCTGAAGCATATCCTCTCCCCCAAATCTCTCACCTATGCCTAGTTTAAGATGGCTTAGGATTCTCCTTTCATCCCACTAGATCTCTGTGCTTCAAAAACCTTCTAACTAGAACTCTGTCCTCAAACCTACCTGAAAATGCCCCTCCTCTATCCTCTGCCTCCCAAGATCAACAAAGGGTATGATTTCTGGCATGTAACTGTTGACCTCTGTCCATCCCCATCAGTGAGTCCCCAAAAGAGCAGGTTGTGCCTAGCTGAAAGAATAAACTTATGAAGTCAGTAGTCACTAATTTCTTACTCCCTACAACACAGTAGTTTTCTTCACCTGTTAAACACCATTCCACAGAAGAGACAAAAGAGATAAAGGAGGGGAGAAAAGAAGCAGAAAGGGAGATTGAAAATGAAGGGGATAGAATGGGAATGAGTAGAGCTTTCTCATTCTATAGCTAATCCTCAAAAGACTGTCATTTCAGATATGTTCATCAGTATTCCAAATCCCCCTCTCCTCCTCCTCCTCCTCCCTGCCTCCTACTACAATGCCAGGGCTATGCTGGAGTTACAGCAATCCTTTAGGCAACAGCCATAAAACAAAAGATACCACCTGTGTTCCCTCACTTCTTCAAAACATTTGATGGGACTAAAGAGCTAGCTTGGTTGGGAGCATCCTTGCCATGCAAGTAAGGGGACCAAAGTTTGAATTCAGCATTCACATAAAAAGCCAAGAATGGTTGTAAGTGCCTACTTACAACTCCCCATCACTGGGAGCAAAGACAAGTGGATCCTGGGGGTAGATAAAAGTGGATCCTGGTAACTCAGGGTCAGCCAGCCTACCTGAAATGGGAAACTTCAGCCAGAGACCTTGTCTCAAGAAAAGAAGGCTGAGAACAATAGAGGATGCCATGCATCTTCCTCTGGCTTCCACATGGCTACATATTCATGTGCATGCACTACACCACATAATAAAAAGAGACACTTTTAATACATCAAGTATCCCAACCCTACATTAACATTTAGAGACATTCCTCATTTCCACTGATTACTTCTCAGGAAATGAAGTACATCTGCTTTATCAATACCTTAATCCCAAATTCAGGGGATCATTATCACTTTTTAAAAGTTATTTTTATTTTATGTGTATGTGTGTTTGCCTGAACGTATATATGAGTATTACATACATGCAGTGCCTGCAGAGGAGAAGAAAGGCCACAGGATCCCCTGGAAGAGGGGTTATGACAGTTAGGAGCTGCCATCTGGATACTTGGAACAGAATCTCAGTCTTCTGCAAGAGCAGCCAGTGCTCTAACCACTGACCCATGTCTCCAGCCCCAGAGTGTTATCATTTTTTAAATTACTGAAATTTAGTCAACATTAGCAAGTAGAATAAGTTCACCACTTTAGGGACTCTAGAGTAATGGTTCTCAACCTGTGGGTCACGATTCCTTTGGGGATTTAATGACCCTTTCACAGAGGTCGCCTAGGACCATCGGGAAACACAGATATTTATATTATGATTCATAACAATATCAGAATTAGTTATGAAGTAGCAATGAAAATAATGTTACGGTTGGGGGTCACCACAATATGAGGAACTGTATTAAAGGGTCACAGCATTAGGAAGTTTGAGAACCGCTGCTCTAGACTCCACTCATGAATTCTATTTTCCCCTAAATATTAATACCTAATTGAATAAGTTACTATCTTTTATTCTCTACTAAAAGTCATCACCTTACTGAGCTCTATGGTTCAGACTCTTCATTGAATCTTGCTGAAGTTCAGGTAACCCCACCCCAAACCCCTCCCCCAACTCCATCTTTGGGGTGTCTGTTCTGCTTCTGCTTCGGATTGTACATTCTACTGATTTCTTTTTAAAGTAGATTGCCATTTCTTTACATCTTTAAGGATCCTATGTACTCTGTGTTACGATAAATCTTTCTGCCAAAAGCCGCTCGTAACAACTCTGTCTTCTGAATTGTACATGGATTTTCAAAAGAATGATTTAAACAGAAGATAAGGAAAACAATTCCATGGTGGAAGGGAGGCT